TGATTAATGAGTCATCTTTAGCCTCATTGCTAATTGATTCATCTTCAGAGGCAAGCCACAGGAACCTCACAAAAATCTATAAAACAGTTAGTATCCCAGACTAAAATACAGCTAAAATTACCCTAGAAATCCAAACTCATTCAAAGATAACATCCTAGCTCCATTATTGATGATTTTCAATCCTTCTTTAGCAATCATTACTATACAAAGACCAAAATCATCATGGAAGACGAAAGACTGCCAAAGGGACAATCAGCAGATCCACACTCCAGCTTCATCTAAATTTAAAAAAAATTTATTCTTGCTATATAACTGGTTCCCTTGACTACTGTTTTGAAGGATCCAATTTATTCATCCCAGCAGCATCTATTTTGACACAGAGAACACATACTATTCACAGTCGTACTGGTGTTTAAACACTGCAAACAGTGTAATGCAATATAGTGTGTAATGCAATATAGTGTGGTTCTTGCTACATTCTATAGAAAATACCTTTTCTTTCAGTATTCCTGCAAAGTTTTCTCCCATAAATCAAGAAGGGATTAAGTATTAGCAGAACATTTTCCTGGACTTTATGTTATTCTTGTTTGTATATAATGAAGCTCATGTATTATTATTAAATATATATGATACATAAATATTTATATATACAAACATAAATATGGTTATCAGAACAAGAGAACATATTGCCAAGCCTGTTTGTCTGCGTGGTACTCTTCTGGGTCACAGAAAGCAGCAGTGCTTGCTTGCCAGAAAACAGAGCAGAAAACTGCAAGGTACCTATGACAGAAAAGATGCTTCTGTCCACATTATCCACCTGCATCAGTCATCATTTGTTCCATTTTTTTCCACCTCCACATTTCTGCATTCTGTTTCATTTTTCTTTCATTCTACACAATAATCTTAACATTGTTTTCTTAGACCTCTGTAAAGACAATGTATTTGCAGAGCAGTAGCATTTTAATAAGAGAAAAAGCAGAATGGGGAAGTCAAAACACAATCAGTGTTTTTACTAGTCCAGAAAGAAATCCCATTTGTTTCTCTTTGCATCAGAGTCCTTAAAAAAATACAACTTCTTGGCAGCAATGCAAGATAGCCTGAAGTAGCCTATAGAGAAGAGGAGGGAAAAATAATAATCACTGGATACTTGGTGTGGACAAGTATACGTAATGATCTTGACAGAGCCTTGGAAGGAACCAAAAGTGAGGTAAGCAAAGACTGTTCCAAAGATAAAGGTTCCTCTTTGAGTTGCTCAGGGGAAAGACTTTTTAAATCAATATATTCCTGCTTTAGTCCTGAACTCCCATGAGAAATGGAGCTGTTGACCCAGCTTCCTTTCAATCTTTTCACAACGTAACAGAGGAAAAAAGCACCCTACATTCAGATGTCAAGTGTCATCTCAAGAGGAATTATGTTGATATAATTCATCTGTAGAGTAAGAAGGCGATTTACAAGTTTCTCTTAATGAAAATTGTTTCAAGAGGCAACAATTATTTGGCAAAGACATGAACTGTTTGAGATGAACATTTCATTTTGTGTAAAAGATTTACCATTACTTTCAAAATACTTTGTTGTTTCTAAACACTTACTTCTTCAGGTGTAATTACTCCAGTTTCCTTAAACTTGGACTCCTGCAATAAAAAGAAAAAAGTTTAGAAATTTTGAGAACTGCTGACGAATCAACCTACCCAACTTTACTGGAAAGACAAACACCTGCTCTTGTCTTGCAAATAGCTCTGTCCAAAGATCCATGGATCAGCCTGGAGGCAACCTCTGCCAGGGCTGATAGGCAGCTTCCTTATTCTACAGTGTAAGGCTCACTGAAATTAATTGTTGCAGAATGTGAGGTATTATAAAAATGATCACATATACAAAATTTTTGCTACCAACAATTATACCAATAATGAAGAGAAGATCCCCAGCACTCAATATTATATTTGCCAGTAAGAGACAGAGAATCAGTGATTCTCAGTCAGGACTCTGAAGTTCTAGGCACTGAACAGTACTGCAGTGCATTAATACAAGGTTTTGCAGTTTAAAAAGGTCATGAAGTGAATGACCAAAATGACTTTTCTCTGGGCTAGAAAAACTTACACAGAAAGACTCAGTTATTAACTTTCTTTTAATACCCATTTCTTTGCCTTCACCTTGGTAAGAGCTTTGATTTTTGCATATTGTCATAGGGGTTTTTTTATGGATGAAAGAATAGATAGCAACTAGACACACGACTTAGTTCTGCATGGAGAAATAAAGTACTTTTGCATTAAAGGTGACATGTACAAAGGTTAAGAATAAAACATCTTTTATCATATTCAAATCTAGAGGAAATGTATTTTGTTTTGACTTCTGGTGGCATGTTTGTTTTCTTCAGAAAAGTCTGAAGTACCAAGGAAATCTACTGTTCCCCAGCATTAGAGCAATCCAAAAAGGGCTTTTGAAAAAGAACATAATTTCTACCATGGCACAGCTGATTTCTTGCCCTAAAGAACTTTTTTTTCCTATCAAGACTAAAAGCAGCAACTGAAAATATCTTGATTTTGGCCACAACTTCACCTTATTCAAACAGTCAGAAAACACTAAAGAAAACCAGCCACTGCTTAACTTGGTTATTCTTGTTCCTTCACCCTGGTGTGTGATATCACATATGCTGTGTAAAATGAAACGAGTACACCTGTTTCATACAGTACTGGACACTATCTTTCTCCCTCATTTCTAAAGAAGATACATTTGAGAACAAGATCAAGATAGGCAAAACTGCAGCTGTACAAACATCATAACATCATTATGTGCTAGTTGACAGAAATCAAAGCAATTTGAATTGCTGTAAGACCCAGAACCCTCAATAACATGTTGTGCAACACCGCAGTGGAGACAACTTACTATTTAACCTCAAAACGAACCATAAGGCAACATGCACAGACTTGTGTTTCTGGAATTGCAGAGAGAAAACATGCAAAATATCCATCCTGTGTTCCCTGAGGGTAAATCACTTTTTCCTCTCTGTGCATTCTGTGGTACATAAGCTAGTGAGAGACATAGGTCTAGCTTCTTTCTAAAGTTACCAAGCGGGAGTATTTTTATTATTATGAGTTGATATACTCATAATACTATAACCTCCCATTCCTGGGAGGTTCTACTCCTGCTTCCTCTCAGTAGTTCATGAGGACACAAGAATTCCTCCACTATTACATGAGCTGTGCAACAACAACTGTACTACAATAAACAAGTCACTTCACCTTTACAGGCCACAACTTCACTGCAGCCCACACGTGTCACATTGGTGGGCAACTCTAGAAAAGTTGAGTATCCAGAGAAGAGCACTCTACATACCACAGAGGGACAAGTTCAATTAATAATTGAGTATCACTGCTTTCTGCCCAAAAATCTCAGCTGCAGAGTACAAAGCACATAAAAGGTCGAACCACAAAGCCACAGGCAGAGAGACTGCTGTCATAAACAAGCACAGGAGAAGTATTTTTTCAAAAACATTTGAAAATGTGAAAATCAGTAGTGAGAAAGCTGCTGGCTGTCATACACAAAGTTGGGGTTTATATAAAAAATTATTTGTAAATAGGAGTCAGAAAGTGGGATGCAGTCTAACAACTGCAGAAAATCACAAACTGTCTCTACCTAAACAAGCAATAACAAGAATTATAACAGATGTGCTGCCCAGCTTTACAAGCAGACTATTATAAGAAACAAATGGCTCATTTCTACCATTCACAGTTACTTTAACACACAGAGGCTTGTAGCAACACAGCAATTCTGACACAGAAATAAGATATGCTGCATAATTTAACATCTGCTCACACAAGAAGTGATTTGTTTTGTTGTTGTTTTTTTTTTATGTCAGCTGAAGAAGTCGCCCTCTTACCCAAAATAACCATTGCAACGCATTCCTGAAAACAGGCTCCAGCCTGGCTGTACGCTTGCATTTCAATTCCTGGTCACACAACTAGTTAAAGTTTTGCCACTTTTACAGAAACCAGCAGCAAATAAGTCGTTCCTTGAGAAGCAGGACCACCAACACCCGTACTGCACTAGGCCCGTACCTCCCAGGTGGGTGCTCCCCTCTCCCAGCGGGATGTGAGCTCCAGCTCGGGCTCCCTCCATCCCGCCCGGCCCGGTGCGGAGTAAGGGCCGATGGCTCTGCCCCAGCACACCCAGCACGGCGCCTTCCGAGACCCGCGGCCGCCACCTCGGAGCTCTGGGGCCCGGACAAGGGCAGGGAGCGGCCGCGGGTGTCCCGTCCCCCCTCCCCAGCCCGGCTCCCGCGCAGCGCCGGCACCTTGAGCACGGGCGTGAGGTATTCGGCGACCTCCAGCGCCTTCCCCTTGACGGTGTTGATGACGTTCTGCATGGTGGCGGTGGGTCGGTCGGTCGATGGTCAGACGGACGGATGGACAGACGGACTCCCGCCCCCCCACCCCTCTGTCACGGCGCTGCCCGCGCCCTCCCCCCGCGCTCACGTGACCCACGCCTCCGCCCACACATGTCGCACGCGCTTAACGTCACGCAGGGCGCGCGGAAGGTGGGAAGTCGCGGAGGGGGCGGGGCCGGAGGCGGGGCTCACGTGGGTGGGTGGGGACGCGAGAAGGGGCGGGGCTAGCGAGCTCCGCGCCGTCACGTGCCCGGCGGGGGGCGGGGCTTGGCCCGCGATGCCCAAGGAGGGGCTGTGAGGCCGCGCGCCCCCGCGGGGGGCGGGGCGGTGGCGCAGGGAGGGGCCGCGCGGGGGGCGCGCGCGCGCGGCCCCGCCCCGCCCTGCCCCGCCAGGTGAGGCCGGTGGGGGGGGCGGTGAGTCCGGTTGGGGGTGCGGGGCTGGCTCCGTGTGGGACCTCGGGCGGGGTCCGGGGGAGCCCGGCCGGGGCGCCGGCGCTGCGCCGCGGGGATGAGCGAAGGAGAAAGCGGTGCCGCAGCCTCCCGGGATCCGCCGCGCCCGGGAGTGCCTGGGAGCGTCTGGGTGCGGCGTCCGAGCCCCGGGCGCTGCCGCCCCGCAGCCCCGTTCGCCCCGTGCGGGCGCGGCCCCGCCGCTCCCGCCTGTAGCCCGCGGCAGCGACGTGGCCGGCGGCAGAGCCGGGAGGGTGGTGCTCGCTCGGCGGAGAGGTGGGTGAGTGTCCCCCCGCGGGGCCGGAGGTCCGGTTCTCCTCCCTCCCGCAGGGCTGGCACGGACCGTCACCAGAGCCCAGCCCGCAGCCGGCCCGGAGAGACTGTCCCCCTTCTGTCCCGCGCGGTTTTTCAGGCCCCGGGGCCCGTTAACGGGCCGGGCGAGTAACGGCGGCGCTGGAGGCGGCTCGGGTGCTGCTCCAGCCGTCCCTGTGCCTCCCCCGCCTCAGTGAACGCCGGATCATCCTGGAGGTGCTGCTCTCGCTCCGCTTTTGTAGCACTTCTCCTTGCTGGGATTAGGAGCAAGAATACTTAAAAAAATATTTAAGAATAATAAGCGTGTGATTTATTTAATCCTTTTAGCTGATCGGTACTCCATAGATGCAAGTCTTATGGGAAACCAGCCTCTTTCTGCCACCTTCAAGAGTCCCTGCGCATATACATTGTATATACCCCTTTGGTCGTCCTCGTAGCATATCCTTCTTATCACTCTCAACAACCAGCTGAAGGGAGGTTGCAACCAGGTGAGTGTCTGTCTCTTATCCCAGACAACTAGAGACAGGGGGACACAGTCTTAAGCTGCACCAGAGGAGGTTTAGGTTGGACATTAGGAAGAAGTTCTTCACAAAAAGGGTGATTGGGCATTGGAATGGACTGCCCAGGGAGGTGATGGAGTCACCAACCCTGGAGGTGTTTAAGAAAAGAGTGGAAGTGGCACCTAGTGCCATGGTCTGGTTGACAAGATGGCGTTCAGTCATTGGTTGGACTTGATGTTCTCAGAGGTCTTTTCCAGCCTAATCGATTCTGTGATTATGATTCTGTGATTCCCTTTTTTCTTTTTTTAAATAAAAAAACAATAACTGTAGAATGAGATTACGCCTTGTGATGTAAGCATCTTTATATAAATTAACACAAAGCAGTAAAATACACTTGTTTCACCTGGTTTAAACAGTTTGCAGAAGTACTATTTATAGTGTGTTTTCATCTTGCCGTCCAAAGGGCACTGACAACGAGACAGCAGAATGAAGTTTGAGTGCCGCAGTCGATTTATGTGTTGCACCAAGGCAATCAACCAGACCTTTCTGCTTGGAGGAGTGTTTATTGTCTTGGGTTCAAGTAGAATCCTCCTGATGAAGTACTCTGCCAATGAAGGTACTGTTGGGCAAACATGGTGCACCTCAAATAAGTAAGGGTTGATGTTTTGGGCTAAAACAGATACACAAAAACCCTACTTTTCCACCTCAGAGTTCTTTGCATAAACATCCTATTATATGTATAGGGACATGTGTTTCTGCACTGAAAAGTCTCTGTATAATCACTGATCTAACATAAAGTGATAATTTGGGTTGTAGGGTATATGAGCTACCCTTAAAAGATGAGGCGGTGAATTATTTTATAGCTGATTTTTCAAAGACTAAAGTGTGTGTAAGCACTATTGATGGTACATGTCTTGATTGAAATATTTTTATTGCAACAGGCTTAGGAGAAAAATGGTATCATAAAACTGATTAGTATTTTTAGTCCTGGAAAGAGGTTATGTCATCCTGGAAGCCATTTTTTTTCTGAGAGTAAAAAATACCATACTGCTCTTTGGGGAAAACATTCCTGCTTTTAATTTTCCTTTTTTTTTTTTTTAAAGATGTTCTTGAGTTCTTACAAAAAAGTTCTGCTGTAAACTGGGACCAAATGAGGAAAGATTTCAGCCCAGAAAGGAGGCTATTCAGGAAGTTATATATCATAAAATTTGGAGTATTTGTAATGAAAGTGCTGATATAGCCTTTTGCATTTATGGAAAGTGACTAAAATTCTGATTAGGGTGGTTAAAATAGGTTCTTGCTCGGATCATGAATGCAAGAGTCAGAATCTCATTGTGTACTCTCTCTGATTTGCCTAATCCCACAGATAACAAATATGATTACCTTCCTACAACAGTGAACATGTGTTCTGAAGTAGTAAAACTGGTCCTGTGTGTGGTGTTGGCACTATGGAAGAGGAAAAAACGTAAGTACCTATGTTTAAAGTAACTAAAATGTTTTGACTTGCTAAGTTTTGATTTCCTTCAAATATGTTCATTTTGTTTGGGATTTTTTTAATGATAGATGACACTTTCCATTACCCACAGATTTTGCATTGCAGGTGATTTTTCGTTTTTTCTTTCTCGACTTTTCCATCCCGATGTAAAAACCTTAACATAACCGTGAGAGATTAACCTCATAGCATTTCAAAATGGTAGAGAACAGATATTTAAATTGGAAGAGGGTGTCAGGCACTGGAGGCTCATGTTAAATTGAACTGTTGTTTTTGTCTGTGGAACAGTCATGGCTTTGGCAAGCTAATGAAATTTTTACCTCCACAATTTGGTACAGACTTACCTAAGACAGTCAGTGTTTACCATCATTGGCTATTGCTGATTACATGTTTTCTGGTTTTCTTTCTTTTTTTTTTCTTCCAGATGTCTGAGTTTTGCTGAACTCAATGTGTCGGTGCTTCAGGAGAGGATTAGATAACATTATATAGTCTTAAATGTGTGCTAACAAAGTACTTCTGTCATCAACTCTAGAATAGTCTAAGGCTTATCACAGTCTTCCTCCTAAAGTTTGTGTCCTGAATACCTAAGTAAATGTCATTCTTTGTGCTTTGTCCTTTCTTTCTTCCTAGTGAGTTCTGGTTTAATTTGTATTTCTGGCATTACTGGCTGACCTTTGGATTGCTCTATGAAGGGATCCACTGTCTGTGCCATTGTTTCAGTTCTAGATTTGATCGATAATCAACAGAAAAATCATACCCAGTAATGATGCCATTATTATGTGGGGACTCTGGAGTGCTTTTTGGCCCTCAAAGAATGGTTGATACTTGAATTTTTGTTCCCAGTGATAGGGGTAACAGGTTCTGTGACATTTTCTCTGCTGAGGCAAGAAAGTGAACATCTATAGGCACAGGATTTCTGCTCTAGCTGTGTATTCTGTCCTGGAACTGCCCTCATCTTGCCAGAGGGCTGTGATACCTTGGTTTTTAATGACTGATGATGTTCCCGAATAGAGAACAGTGGTACCTATACTGTTACAAGGGAATGGGCTTTTGATAATAATAAAGTTGTCTTTATTACTGATTTCTTTTCCTTTCAGAAAAGAGTTGTATGGATCATCCCTATGAATGTCTTTCCTGGAAGAATTTATGTAATTTGATGAAATGGTCAATTCCTGCCTTTCTTTACTTTTTGGATAATTTGATTGTCTTCTATGTACTGTCCTACCTCCAGCCAGTAAGTACACATATACTGAATAAAGGAATTTCCAATATCTTCGTGGTAGGTAATACTGTTCTTAGACTATCTACTGTTGTAACACTGGCAAGGCAAAATTTACTGGTGAAAGAATAATCTGTTACCTGACCACCCAGACCTTCCCATTCTCTTGCCCACTGCTCAGTGTTGTACAGCTTTTAGCAGAGAAGAGTCTTTGTATTTTCTCCATCCGAAGTGATTTAGGAATTTAAAAGGCTGAATTGCTAAGGTACTGGGCACTGGTTTTTTACTTTCCCTCCTTTGGTTTCTTCAACTCTATATTTTTCTTTCAATCTATTTGTTCATGTTGCTATTATTTGAGCTGCACTTTTCTGTGGGGGTTTTGCCACTTTATGTATGTGACATAAAGTGAGTAAATGTAATCTCACAAAGGGAGTAAGTGTAACAGGAACCGAGGAGAGGAGGAAGAAAACTGACTTAATTTTTGTATTTGATAGTTATGTTAAGGCACAAAATTTAATTTGTAATTTCTTCTAGCTACATTCATCTTTTTGAGTGAATCTGCATATGCTCAGGAAATGGTAGTTTTTGTGCTTTCTTTTAGTTTTGTACTATGATACTTTTTGGTTCAGAATCTACATTTGAAGTAAGATGAAAGCAGATGGTTTGTGCTTCCTATAAAGTACTGTGGCTGCCCCTATTGGACATTAAAAGGAAATGGTTTTCTGCCTTCTCTTTCAGAGTTTCTCTTTAAAATATTGTCCTTTTAGGTATAGATTTCTGTTGGGGACAAGCTAGTCCAGAGTCTAGAATAAGACCCAGCTGAGAAAATCTTATTAAAATGAAGAGTTGGGTATCTTAAAGTAACGTGCACAAATTCTTGGTTCTGTGGTTTGTTGTCTGAGGTTTTTTGTTGGTGGATTTTTTTTTTTTTGCTGTTGATGGTGTTTTTTTTTTCAGTTGGTTGGGTTTGGGGTTTTTCAGTTTTAGGAAGGAAATTCAGCTCTAATATTTGCCAGAACAAAGCCTGATATTTAGGAGGTTGCATAAATACAATTGCATCCTTAAGCAATTTGATTTGGCTCAGTTAAGGTAATCTTTTGTAGTATGCACAGCTTTTATTTTGCTTACACACACCCCCAGACATACCTTGTCTCTTTCCCCTCAGAACACTGGCTATAAGATTCCTCTGTTTAGAACATTTAGCATCTTTAACTGAATATATTCTATGATGCATAGCTGAAATTGTAACATTATTATGATAGACAAGTATTAAAAGAGATAGCTAGATACTTGTAAGATAGAATATCTGGGCAGCATACAAGACAATGAATGTGAAAAGATGGAGGCAAGATGCTTAAAGGGATTTGGCTGTATCTGACTGAATTTGGTTTCATGTGAGTTTAAAAACAAAGTAGGTTTGGGACTAAGTAGTACCTGGGTGAGTAGTTGCTTGAAGTATAGAGTTGCTTTGCTGAGATTTTTTTTGCTTGAGGCTTCAGTTATAGCCATGGATATTTTAGTGGCTAAATTTCCTAGTGATAAGACTTAACATTTAAAGAGTTTGTTTGTGACATGCAAATTAGTGGCATGGAGATCTTTGATATTCCTTTTCATCTAGGACAGAGGTCCCTTGAGGCTTCAGAGAATAAAGCAACTCAAAATTAGTTCTTTTTAACTACCCTTCTTAAGATTTTGATCATATTATGTTACCAGACGTTGGATGGGGAGCTTTGACTGTAAAGCAAAACCAGAGTATGCATGGAATGCTTTTACATTTTGCATCAGAATCCTTTTTTCATGAATGGTTTCTGCTAGATTTACTTGTTTATTCAATATTTTTCTCTTTCCACAGTCTTCATTTAACATGAATATTTATTGAGTTTTAATAAATAAAGGTGGAAAATTTGTGTTTTCTTAGGCAGATATCTCTTGTGTCAGTCACTCCTCAGCTTACTCGAGACCCTGTGTTGTGTTGTTCCATGGGAATTATTATTCATCAGATAGTTTGTTGGAATAGAGGGGAATGAAGATAATGGGAAAAGGGTCTGTGCTTTTCCTCTGGTAAATGGGAAAGGCTCTGCTCTTGCAAAATTGGGAATGTGGAAATGCAGATGAGAAAACTCAAGACAAAGTCTGTGTTTTGTACTCCTGAGTCCATATATGCTTTTATATAAAACTGTCTAAAAAAGTGAGTTCACTATAAGGATGAATTGGAGGAAAGACTTGAGATATTTGCATCTTTTGTACATGTACTGACTACACAGGGCAGGCCTGAATAACGCACAGTTTCCAAAACATCCCAACCTCCAAAAAAAAGGTGTTTTTTTTTCCTGCTGGTCCTGGTAGATTCTGATCTTTGATGGTAACTGCAGTGCCTGAAAGAGCCTCTTCTGGGTCCGGTGTCCCAGTATAGAGTGTCTAATACAGAGACAAAACAGACAATCCTTGCCACAAGGAGTTTGCAGCTTGGGATCATGGCCATGGATTAGGGCACTGACATTATTACACAGTTATTCACAAATTAGACAGTAGCTTTAGAGTTGTCTTCAGTTGTACTTTGAAATAGCTGACTTTTTATTACAGTTGCAGTCTTGAAAATTCATGTCAAGCACCTCCTTACCTTTCATAAATTATGCAACAAATGCACTTGACATACAAGAAGTTTTATTTTCTGCAAGTGCCTTGTCCAAGTCTGGGATTACCTGAGTGCTGCAAATAGCACTGCAGCCAGAAGCAGCCTCACCTTTTTATTCTTTGCTTATTTTCATTTTGGAGCAACTTCCTCCTTTGTGCTGACGCAACTGGTTTTGCAGCTGACTGGTCAGCCTGGCTGGGGAACTGATCTGATAGAAAACTAAACTGTTTTCTGTTAAATAAGTTTTCTGTTGCATTGGTTTCCTCACATCTTGGTTTCAGTACAGCTTTCCCCACTACAGCTGAACTTGGGCTGTGTGATTTGCATGAGATTTTTGAAATGGGCCTTGAATGTTATTTCATGGGTGTGTTATTCTACCACTTGGGTGAGGAAGAAAATTCAGTACCAGTGCTTTTCACTCTGTCACCTTGCAGAGAGGGGAAGACTTGAAGTCTGTAGGTTTTTGGTGTCCCACTGTGTCTGGAGTATAACTTTATTCCCCTTTTTCTCTTTCAAGGCAATGGCTGTACTCTTCTCAAATTTTGTCATTATAACAACAGCTCTTCTCTTCAGGATAGTACTAAAGTAAGTAGTATTTACTAAAATAAATGAAATTTTTGATCTTCCTAGCCTTGATGAAGTTAAGTTACATTTCAACTCTTGATGGGAACAGTAACTCTCTTTTCTTGTGGCTATACCAGCTTGGAGAGATGGTTTTGTTTTCTACATCTGAAGGTATAGGAAATATTAGGTTGTTAGGACTCCCTTCATAGTTCTACACATTTGTTCAACTCTAATAGAAAAGAATTGAAATCATGATTATATAGTCATTGAATGGTCAGAATTAAGTTTGTGTACTTTCATTTATACATTAAATCTTTTATTTCATGATTACCAGTGCTTGTTACCAGTCTGATGCAATGTAAATGTGATCTGGCAGAAGGGGATGAGATCGGTACGAGTGAAAGACAGAGGTGTCTTTGGTGTCAGTCCTGATGAGTTTCTGGTCAACTGCCTAGTATGTTTTGAAAAGCAATTATACGTCCCTTCTTCATTATTCATGCGACAAAAGCAAAAATCTGTCCCATGTGTTGCACTTTGCCTGATTTACGCTCTTTATGATGTGATTTAGATTCAGAAAAGACTGACAGGGAAATGGATATTAACTTTACATTCTAAATTTTGTTTGTGTTGAATGTGGTGCAAAGATGTCTTTCCTTGCAGGTGTTAATAAACCAAAGCGGTGTCTGACAGTCTGACTTGAAATGCTTTTTCTCAGTCTAGTTTTGTGTCTCTTGTGGTGTCACAGTTCGCTTAATCTTCCAAATTTTTTATTTTCACCAAGATAAACAGGCTTTGCTTGAGTGAAAAAACAGTATAAATAATTCTAACAGTCTTATAAATTACATTCATAGATTTGTAAGAGTTACCATCATAAAATGCTAGAAAGGGGCACAAAATCATGGGGGAAAAGTGAAGTGTAGTGAAAGTTTACCAAAGAAATGATGAAATTATTTGAATGTATGTGATTTTATTCATCAGACCAGTATTCTCATGGAGACAACAGTTGCTTTTAAGTTGTTGGGCAATCAGTGTCTAGAAATAATGGGATCTTGAAAGAGTTTCTTTTTCCTTATCTCTTCAGGATACTTGATTTTGTACTTCTTTGATTACCAGGCTGAACCCCCTTTGCCTTCTAAAACGTGTTGCGTTTTGGCATTTTACTGTTAATTCTGAAAAACTTCTGAAAAGACTTTTCTTTGTGCCTGTCTGTCTCCTTATCTGTGTGGCATGATGTCTTTACGTGGTTTATAGACCTGGTTCTTCTGTCATTTAATTTATGCCACTGTGTTTCTAAATGTGGTGGCTCTTTTTGTCCACTAGGCGAAGACTCTCTTGGGTACAATGGGCATCTCTGGTGATTTTATTCCTGTCCATCGTTTCCCTGACTCGAGGAACCGGAGGCCATCAGCAAAGCTTGGCTGCACATGGATTTCATCACAATATGTTTTTTAGTCCGTCTAACCACTGCCTTCTCTATGCTGGACCTGAGGAAGCATGCGTGGAAAAAGGCAACTGCATAGCACCAAGTTTCCTTCACAGCTTCGAATGGAATGTCACCAATACCATGGCAGGAGCATTGAAACCTCTTCGCCTCAGCCTGGGCCATCTGCTTATTCTAGTGCAGTGTTTTGTTTCTGCCCTGGCCAACATCTACAATGAAAAGATGCTGAAAGATGTGGATCAGCTTGGTGAAAGTATCTTCACACAGAACAGCAAACTCTATGCCTTTGGGGTGCTGTTCAATGGGCTTATGCTGGCGCTGCAGACGAAGGACCGGAGGCAGATAGGGAACTGTGGCTTCTTTTATGGGCACAATGTCTTCTCTGTAGCTCTTATATTTGTCACAGCTTTCCTGGGGCTGTCTGTAGCCTTCATCTTGAAGTTCCGAGACAACATGTTCCATGTTATGACTGCTCAGATCAACACTGTCATCATCACCACAGTGTCTTTCATCATCTTTGACTTCAGGCCTTCTCTAGAGTTCTTTTTGGAAGCTCCTGTAGTGCTTCTCTCCATATTCATCTATAATGCCAGTAAAGCAAGAGGCCTGGAATATGCCAGTCTGCGGGAAAGGGGAAAACTCGTCAAAGGAGATGGATGGGAGAGGTCAAGTGGGGTAAGGCTTTTCTGTACTTGTCTCCCATGGTTTTCTCTTTTGTTTCACCTCCATTTATGCTATGGAATGTTTGGAAGAATCATCTTGGATGTGACCAGACTCATCCCTCAATACCAAAGCTCCTCAGTATTTCTTAAAATCATGGGTATTGCTTTCCATATGCTACTTTTTGAAATCATGAAGCCTATGTAGGCATTGCTTTCCTGCTGTGACTTTAGGCAGTCCTGTGAGCAACTTCAGCTTTGTACAAGTCCTTTCTTGAAAGCTTTATAACCAAGACAGTTTACTTGCCCAGGGCATTCAGAAATTGGAATTGCTGCCTGGGAAATAATTGTATTTAAGTAGAACTGATAAATCTCTGTAGCTTAGCCCACATCATGAAGAGGTCAACATGTATGATGTTAAGATTCTTTCTACCTTAACAGTCAAAGATAGCTGAAGACAAAAAGGTAATATTCAAAGTACTGAGTTTTAACACATTTTTTCTTCTTCTTGCTAAATATTTCTTCCAGGCCTGCTAGTGGTTTTTGTTCTAATTTGAATAGTGATCTAGTTAACTAGTACATGTTAGGGAGGGCTCTCTCTTAGATCTGTCTGTCAGCTGAGCTGAGCAGTGACCTGAGGGGAAGGGGTAGTGTCTGTGCCTTCACTCTACCTGTAGGGACGGATTGTGGATACACGCTGAAACCAGCAGAGAGCACTGTCCCCACTGAAGTCTAAGAAACACTAAACTTCGAAGAGAGATTTTTTCAGAAATTCCACAAGGTGCCTTTTTAGGTTGTTGTTTAATGAGCAGTAAATAACACAAAGTTGTATATTTTTGGTGTGCCAGGTGTCGTCTATTTTAGCACTAACAGCTGAACAGCTGTGGTAAAAACAAATAGCACTATGTGAACAGGCTAAGCCAACTGTATCTTGGGTTGCATCGAAAGCAGCAGAAACAGCAGGTCGAGGGAGGTGATTTTGCCCCTCTACTCTGCTCTTGTGAGACTCCCACCTGTGGTACTGTATCCAGCTCTGGGGATGTAGATCTGCTGGAGTAAGTCCAGGAGAGGGCCAGAAAGATGATCAAAGGGCTGGAGCACCTCTCCTCTGAAGACAGGCTGAGAGAGCTGGGGCTGTTCAGTTAGGAGAAGAGAAGGCTCCAGGGAGACCTTATAGCACCTTCCAGTATCTAAATGGGGCTGGCAAGAGAACTGGGGAGGGACCTTTTACAAGGGCATGATGTAGAGATAGGACAAGGTGGCATGGCTTTAAACTGAAAGAGTGTGGATTTATTTAGATTAGGAAGCAATTCTTTCCTATGAAGGTGGTGAGACGCTGGAACAGGTTGCCCAGAGGAGTTGTGGATGCCCCATCCCTGGCAGTGTTCAAGACCAGGGTGGATGGGGCTTTGAGCAACATGGTTTAGTGGGAGGTGTTCCTACTCATGGCAGGGGGGGTTAGAACTAGATGATCTTGAAGGTCCCTTCTAACCCAAACCATTTTATGATTCTAGGCTGTTTTAGGCAACAAGTCACTACAAAGTGTTAAAGATGCAGGTAATGTTTTTATGAGCATGTATATCCTAAACCTCATAACACACTGGTGAGAAATTTAAATTATAGCATCTTGATTTTATTACAAATGATGCCTTCAAATTAAACCTTGCTCTTTTTTTTTTTTTGGTGTTAATAACAAGATGACTTTTGCTCATGTTGTTCTCTTTTGCTTCTGTTTCCTGTAGGATGGAGAAGAATTTGAGAGGTTGAACAAGCCAGGCAGTGACATCGATACAGATGAAGATTCCCTCTAGCATGAGGCTGGCTCAGAGGAGTGCTATTGCTCATAGTGAGAGAGAGTTAATCTTCTATTAACAGGGTTGCTTTTCCCCACTGGCGGACTAATCGAAACTGTTTTGGGGCTGGATCTCAAATGTGGTTGCGGACAATATTCAAGCTGTATATATGGAGATTTGTATTCCTCTGTGCCTGTCTCCCAGTGTCTGGGGAAGTGAAAATCTGGAATGCCTTTGTAGCAGCTGGTGAATTTTACATGCAGCTTATGTGGCCTAACTTTGAAAGAGCTTGAATAAAACAAAAATGTGTTGAACAGTATGAATGCATCATAGGGTCTTTTTTTTTCGTGTTTACAAAGGCTTTGTGTAGAGGCTTAGTTTGCACTGGGGCCACTATCTGAAAACAAATATTATGCAGCTACAGCGATGACCTTCAGCATCTGGAGCACTGAGCAAGAGGGTACAGGTGGTACTATTATCTGGTGTTGCTCCACCCTGTCAGACTGATAAAGTCTTGGATTAATTTTGTAGAGAGAGAAAACATTCTGCAGAATGCCAGGCGTAGTGATCTTGGAATTGCCGTTGAGGCATCTGCTGGATTGTATTTTGAGTGAGATGAAAAATTAGCGAGGTTCCAAATTATTCAGAGAATTTTGAAACTGGGAAGGGAATGGGGATGCTGATAAGGGATTCTTGGTATGTTCCAAAAGCCTCTTCTCTCATAGCAGGAGAAAGCATGTTGGTTTATAATTTCCTCCCTTCAAAAATGTGTCTTTCATAGTTGAAAGATACTGTCAGAAGAATTTTTAAGAAGATAAGCAATGAGTTCAGTGTCAGAGCCTCATACCACAGTGTATAGTAAGCAGTTAGTGATGCATTTCTCTGGACTGAAGACAGTCCTGCCTTTGTTCCCCTCTGCCATTCTGTCCAGGCTTAGTATATAAAGCTTACTTACGTGTACTGTATTGATGACTTATTGCTATATTAATTAACTTAGCTCCTGTCATTGATCCATCAAGAGGGGCAGCCTGTTTCCATGTGTGACCAATGACTGTCAAATCATAAACTATGAATCTAAAATTATTATTTTTTCTGTATTAATTTTTGTCTAGTATATATTAAGAATAACTGTACAAAATTAATTTACTGTTGTGGTTGAAAAATCTTTTGCGTCTAATTTCATTGTGCATGGATAGTAGGCCATTTCAACACAAGGAACCCTAGTTGTCTGCATCTGTACTGAATAGGAAGCCATATTTCAGTGTAAATTCCAGAAATGTAGTTTTTATTGGTTTATGATGACCTATTTTGGAAGATGAAACTTGGAAAAGAATGCTCAAACTGTTGAAGACTTAGGGGCAATAAGATTTTTTTTTCATTACATACAGCTGTGCAATATATACCTGCCTGAGTTCCTTGTCTCTTTCAGTCATGGCAGGTATTTTCAAGAGGAGTGAAAGTACTGTTAGCTTTAGATTGCTTTGCATTTACATGAGCAGTAGTAGTTTTTTACATGAAGTAAAAGCAAGTTAGAACATAGAAATCAGCCTCATCCCTGTAATGACAGGGCATCAAACCAAAGATGAATGTCATCTGTACAGATGCAAACATATGTTTGACCTTCCTGCCTGAAATATCAGCATTAAGAGAAATGAGATATAGAAATGACTGATCTGCAACTGTTATAAAGTGCACTTAGTTCTTGCTTTCAACTCTTGCCCTGCTGAATGATTTTCCCCTCTAATTTTCACCAATGCTATTCTGTGTGGCTTACTTGACAAAAGTACTGGTGATATGATTGTGGATCAAAGTGTTTACTTGCACTGTGGAGTTGGTCCTGTCTAACATGTAGAAATCTTTCTTTTGGCTTCAGGTTGGAGGTCTCAGGGAGATTATGTTGGATGGCCAGGCAGGTTTCTTAAAATAATGGAGGAGAACTGTATATCTCCTTTGCAGCAGCAGGAATGTTAACGGATACCTAAAAATGGGTAAGGCTTTGCATCATCTTAGCAGTAAAATAGTGTGTATAGTAACCCAAAAACATAATCGTGCAATTTTTGGCAGCAGTACTACTCATGGCAATGGTCAAATTTAGTATGTAAATGAGATTTGTTAGAGGAAGTGACTGTGAAAGATTGTCAGCTGGAGAACAGCCCTAGTTAGGAAGGGGGAGCAATTCTCTAGAGTTACACATCTTAAATAGATCATGGGAAATCTTTCTTGATTAAGTATTTCCACTGTATGGAAACTTCTCCATGTTGGAAATCTTAACTATATTTTGCCTTAAATGACAATAGGGAAATTTATGAGGATATTTTTGGAGAGCAGCATTAGTTTGGCACTCATAGCATTTAATGAATACATTGGGCAGAGAGCTTTTTCTGAGCTTTGATTTAGAGCCCAGATTCACAAACATTTGGACTTAATTGCTGCTGAGGATGTTATGTTCCTCCCTCCAGGTTTGAGGAAATAGTTCACAAAAAATCCCAGGAAGAGAGGTGTGTTCATGTTTCTCTTGTTTATAACTAGCCAATTAAAGCAGTATTTATTTTGGTTAATTTCAGCTATTTTGTGAATATAGCAGCTTCAAAGACAGACTGTGGATGAAAACAGGCATCTTGGAGCTGAATCAAATCTGATAAATATGTATAAAAAAAAAGTTTTTCTTTATCATGTGGAATCTTCCCACAAGATCCATAGGAGTAGGATCTTCAGCTCAATAAATCTGTCCATGAAGTGGTGCTGCAGGGACAGATCCAGTGCTTTGAGTTTGATTTGTGTTTTGCCAAACGAAGTGTTCATTTGGAGTATTGTAGCTCCCGAATGTCTATAGCCTGCAAGATAACTACATGTTGTCATTGAAAGGATATTTTGACTCGATGTTCCTTCTGGCTTTGCTTTTAGTTTTCCCCAGGGAGAAGTAGGTTGCAGAATCAGGATTTTAAATAATTGCTAAAAGTTACTGGTAATTTCAAGCCATTTTGTAATGAAGGCAGAAATGGGCACCAGAATGTAGAATGGTACAGAGTCTTCCTCGAATTTTATGAATATTTGAATGTGTACTTTTGTTTAAGATCTCAACCTCCCTTGATAAGTGGACAACTTGTTTGGAGTTGTCTTTTTAATGCAATTCCCACTGAATGCCTAGGCTGGGTTTGATACTTGTCCAACTGAACTTTGAATTTTGGACAGGGCTAAAAAAAAGGCCATTTAGATTAGGTGTTGCACTCTTTTTTTTTTTTTTTGTAAATTAACTGTATCTTCCCCCAGCTTAGCAGAGGACATTTTGTTTATATGATTTGTAGTGTGAGTTAAAAGGGCTTTCATTTAAAGACTTTACATGAAAACAAGATTACAGGAAAGTAAATGAACACCTGAAAGAAAACACCCCAAAGGCGTTTTTCTTTCTGTCTACAGGAGATGCCTGTTAATCATCTGGGATACTTTCCTCTGTTTTTGCTTCAGGCAAGGAAAGTTAGGCAGCTGACCTTAATACAGTGATGCACTTGTTTTCTAGAAATGAGCTACAGGACACTCCATTTTTTTTCTAGAAACCTTTCCATTCTGTGATTCTTCTTGTTTTTTTTTAATTTCTTTGTCCACTGCTTTCAGCTGTGGAAGTACTGTAGTCAGTGAGAGCTTGGAAGCTCTCTGCAGGCAGCAGTCCTCTCAGACTGGTTCTATCAAATACCTGCCTTCTCCCACTTAGCTCCAGTCACCTGAGAAAGGTAAGTCAGGAGCTGTATCCTGTGCTGACTAGACCTTGTGATACGAAGGGCAGCCAGCCTCAGGGGATGACCAGGTTTGTAAAATAAGGCCTTGAGACCTCCACATCTGTCTGCCTTTGACACTCAGAAGAGCAAGCAACGTCTGAAGTTTTGTGGCTGAGTTTCTAAAGAAAGCATCTAGTTTTGAGTGAAGAAATCAGGAAAATGCTAAAACACATGCAGAGCATGCTCTGGCCAGCTTAGGGCTGTAGCCTTCTCCCTATTCCTGTGCTATTGCTGTCATGGCAAAACCTACTACCAGTGCCCTGTTGCATGTATCTATATGTGATGTGCACCCACATCGCGGATTATAAGAAGAAATGTGACTGGTCAGGCACACCTTCAACATTAGAAGTGACCACTGTGCCACTATGAAGGCTTGAATGGTACCTTCTTCACTTCAGGATATTCCATAATCTTTCTGCTGCGTCTTTAATGTTTAGAAATCTAACCCAAATGGTGTTGAAACCATGGCTATATGTGCAGCTCCTGCCACTGGTTTCAGTAGAGTAGGGTGATGCAACAAATCAAATGCCCAAAGACACCCATAAGAAGGGAGAAGAAAACCATTTCAGAAAGTGTGCCAAAAATAGAGATGGTTTAGCAGATCAAATTAATCTCAGATAGTTTTATAAATATTTAATCTAGATCACTTTTATGGGGGAGGGTATGAGAAGAAGAGGTAAAAGAAAATTTGAAATTTAGAGTAATAGTTTAATTAAAAGCATTATTATAGAGAGCTAGTTACAACTCATTTAAAATATATGTGAATGAGATTTTGTTTTCTGATAAAAATAATGCTTTTCAGTTTTCTGTATTTCAGACAATGCTAACTCTGGTTGGTGTTTCCACTTAGCTCTCATTAACTTGGATTTAGTTGTGAGATGGGCAGGACCTAAGAGAAGAGGGACTCCAATTAAAAGAATAAATGGTTATGCAGTAAGCTTTGTAGTTAAGAACTTTATATTGTATTGGAGCAAATTCTGCCATAGCCATAAATCTTATTTTCGTTGATAAAGTCAGCTAATTACAATATTAATACACTGTAGAAGGGGTGCTGTCTTTTTAAACAAAGTGTTTCAAAAAGATTTTATTATTGTTGTTGTTATTTTTAAAGAGCATACCTCATACTTCTTTCTTGAATTTTCCTTTTCGGGGGGAGACCTGAAGTGTGATCTTTTGTTTCTCCATAAGCATAATGAAATCTCACTTTCCAATAAATATACTTATTTTTTTTCTCCTTAGAAAAAATACTAAAAAGCACATTGCAACATTTGTTGGACAGTTTGTGTCCTGCCCTACCGCAGTGCCCATACACTGGGGCTGTGGGGGTTTTTTTGTTTGGTTTTAATACAAACAGCACCTGCTGATGGCCTTTGTTTATAAAGGTTTAAAAATATAAAGGAGTCTTTATTGTTTAAAGCTTCAATACTACTGGTTTGAATTGCTTCACTGTAAAGGCTTCTGCGTTTTTTTGAGAAGGCAAATGACCAAAGTCCCTTGATTGAACAGTAGAAGAACGAGGCGTGGATATCTAGTTGGCCTGGGAAGACTTTCTGCAACTGGCCGTGTATTGCTTGGATAGCTATTAGAAGGCAGACAGGGGGCAGTCAGAGGCTAAGTTGCCCTTTTCAATATGGATATCCATGGTGGTAACTCCCGTGGTGACGGTAGTCATCTTGGTAACCTTCCTGGTATCCCTGGTGGTAGCTATGGTAGCCATACCCACCGTACTCATCATCTGGGCACTGCATGCCGAGCGACTGCTGAATTGTCATCTCCTGTCGCCGAAGCTGCATGGAATCAATCAGGTCATACACAATCGCCATAGACCACATTGGAGAAGGATACCAGGACTTCACGTTTCCATCTTTCCCCACTAGAAGCATGGAGAAGTATTCTGGGCTAATTTGAAAATAATTTCGGATGTCTTTCACCAAGTTAGCTGGGATGTCTTCTCGGTCTACAGTTGAGCTTCCTAGAAAGCGATCACATAAAATCAGCATTGATGTTTTGTTTAAGCAGTGATGATGGTTTGTAGGTAAGCGAGTTAGCAACATGAGACAGGATACAGCCCAATAGTTGGCAATGTAAGGTGCTTGTAATTTACAAGTTCAGGATTTCCTGGATCCAAAATGAAGTTGCTCTACTGTGAACTAAGGATGTATTTTTAACAGTTTTGTTAGATTTAGTAAACTTGTCCTTTTTCTCTAGGCTGAAGCTGCTGTAGTGTGGTACATCTTTTTGTCACCCTTCTTTGACTACTATGCAGCTTGTGTCACCAATTCACGTATTGCAGAAGGCATATGTGAACAACAGTTGTGGTGAAAGAAATCACAAGAATTGAAGCGTGATAGAAGAATTGAAGGATGAATTTGCTGGGTCATTAATGGCATTATAGAACCTCACTCATGATATGTGAGGTGTGGTAGATGTCATGTCCACTTCAAAGTACATGTTCTAGTGCAAATCTGGTGAACTCCAAGCTTTTAAGTGTGAAGTCTGTGTTGGGTAAATGAGTAGAAACTATAACACAACTAAGATCAGTGGGCACATATATACATAGTTGGCTTGGCAGCTGAATGCTTACAAAGTGGCATCCTGCCTTACAGATTTGAGATTCTCTGAAGGAGGTCAGGAAGCAGGTGGTCAAGGGTGGCCTGGTTGTTACAGATTAAGTGGATTTCCGGAAGGCTTCAAAAGGTACTTTGATAGTTTAGTTGAAAAGCAGAAACAAGGTGGGAGTGAATGATCACCTGGAGTGGAGGGAGGTCATCAGTGAAGTTCTGTGATTTTGCTGGGACTGGTGCTGATCAGTGTATTTGTAAATAATGCACGTGAGGTATGAGGATGGAGGTTAGGAAGTATACTGAGGATGTGAAGTATATTGAGGATGTGAGGCGTTGCAGAAGATCCTTGTAAGACTGTGTGACTGATTAGTAAAATTAGAGAAGAAATTCTATTCAGATTGAAGAGATACACATGGTGAAAGTTTTTCTGACTCCCCATAAGAAATGATGAAGATTGACCATCACCACTTGGCAGTGAGATCTTAGGGCTATGAAGGAGTTTCATGAAAGGCTAGTTCAGTGCTCACTAATGACCAAAAGCAAAACCAGATGTTATAAACCATGAGGAAAATAATAACAAAACAGTATTATTATGCTACTATGGAAACCCATTGTTTGTGTGCATCTTAAGCACTGCATGAAATTCTGGTTCTCTCACCTCAGAAGACTACAGTAGAACTGGGAAAAAAAAGTCAGAAAGGCAGCAAGGTTGATCGCAGATTGGGAATCAACTCTGTATGATTTTATGTCCATGTAAGTGGGGACTGCAATCTGTCATGTAGATGGGTTGGGAGAGGTCTGCAGAATTGTGAATGTCACTACAGGGATGGATAGGAATTAAATGTTTACCTTTTTCCCCACACAAGAAATAAGGGGCATCGAACAAAGCTACGGGGGTCATATTCAGGACAGATAAAAGGTACCTCTGTAGAGGTTCTCACAGGAGAACACATGCTAGGAGTTAACATGGATCAAAGGGACATTAGTCAAGTACACAGAAAAGAGGACTCTTGAACTATAACCAAGATCATGAAGCCTTCGGTGAAAAATAAGCAGAGGCTGCAAGAAGGTTGATGGAAGAAGTGCGACATTTGCTTCTTCTGTTCTTATTCATTCTTATACATGGACTTAATGTTCCTGTACTATAGAAGGACTAGGATGCTTTCATGCACAGAGCAAGCAGTTGGAACAGAGATGGGATAAATGAGCTCCTTTCTGTCTCTGTTCTTCTACTGATGGAGACAGTTGTTTGGATTAGGTAGTAGAGGAACCTGTAGCATTTGAAAAATACCCTGACAGTGACCTCTCCTGAAAATATCTACTTGAAGTAGCCTGCTGAGATGCAAGTGGAATACTTAAGGGGTACTTATAGGAAAGACAGAGAAAGAAAGACTTTTTACCAGGGCTCATAGAGACAAGACAAGGGGTAATAGTTTTAAACTGAAAGAGGGTAGATTTAGATTTGATTTAAGGAAGAGATTTTTTAGGATAAGGGAGGTGTGACACAGGAGCAGATTGCCCAGATGGATGCCCCATCTCTGGAAGAGTTCAAGGCCAGGTTAGATGGGGCTTTGAGCAACCCAGTCAAGTGAAAGATGTCCCTGCCTAGGGCAGGGGGTTGGAACTTGATGATCTTTAAGAGGTTCTATTCACTCCAAGCCATTCTATGAATATGAATGAGGGACCCATATAGGAGAATCTGCTGAGTGTGTGTTCTATTAGCCCTGCAGACTCTTGAGCATGTAAAAGACACAGACATCCCTTTGACAGCAAGGCTGGCAGAGGAGTGTACTGGGGAATGTAAATTTAGGTGAGAGATAAAAGTGTGAGTTAGCTTCTAGATATTTGTGCTTTTACGTCCTGAAGAACCTATATAAGGTTTAGCACAGAAACAGTAAGAAAGCTTTTTGTTTGGTTTTGTGTCATCTTATGTCTTAAAAGAAACAAAACAAAAGAGAAAAACTGTCAATCCTTCCAAAGAAATTACAGCAAAGAAGCACTCAGCACTGTGTAATGCCCTTCATGGGTAGTACTGAAGAAACTGGGAACTGTTGCTTACCATTAATTGGATACAACTCTAAGACGCCTCCAATATCTTCTCCAAGTCCTAGCAGTTTGAGAATAGTTATGTGGCGCAGACCTGTGGAGGAAATACAGAAGGTTGTGAGTCAGACCAGATCTTTCTGTTCATTCTTGAGCAGATTTCAGTTTCATCAACCAGGTCTGTGCTTGCTAAATTAGGGCCCAGTCTCAGCCAGCCCTCTAGAAGGAAGAGTTACTGATTTCTGTGGAGTCCCTGCCAGTCACATCATCTGTCCCAAACACAGGGATGAACTGGTGTGTTGCATGAATCATGAGTCAGTTGCATAAAAGCAGTTGCTGGTGTCCCAAGGACAGCAGTGTGGTGCTGTGGTTCTGTAGCATAGGGATACAAGCATCAGACATGCCAGTAAATTGCAGAGGCCATTCTCCAAATCCGTAATGTTTCTGCACTGTTTTGTTCACTAGTAAAGCTTTTACTTGTCATACACACTGCAACAAATTATTTAGAGGCAATATAATCTATCCCAGTTAAACTCTGAGTGAGGGAAATAGCTTATGACAGGTACTCACTTCTTTCATTTGTGCTGCACAGAGGCTTGGACTGTTGCCTCTGCTTTGAAGAAAGACCTTAGGGATGACAGAAACTGCTCATGTAAAATGCATCTGTACAATCTAAAAAATCTTTGATGTAACTGTTTTACAACTTGGAAGTAAGATGCTTGGAAACATACCACTTAGTTAAAACACATGTTGACAAAGGCTTTAGAAACTCACTGGATCTCCTTCAAGCTGTCCCTAAAAGGGTGGGGATAATAACTGTTTTGGTTACATTCCATTCTTCAGAAAGCATTTTACAGTGGTCCATGTTGCAGTTTACTTAGGTAGTTACGAAATGAGATGACGCTGATGCTCTGAATGAAAGTCAGGTGACTATGAATGAACAATGATACTATGCAGATCTCCCTTCAGGTGTAATTGGAATGTAGTGATATAGCAGCTGTTGAATGGAACCTGTTTCATTCTATTGTGGGAGTCAAGTCTACACCCTGTATGGTACTGGCATTTCTAGGAACTTAACGAGTAAGTCTCTCTGCGCTTCATTATGAAAAGACAGAAGAGTGTTTCTGGGTCTTGCTCTTAGTTGCCTGCTGGAGGAGCCCATGTCTCTCCACTGACTATGTAGTTGGATCATTAAGTACCTAGTTATGGGTCTGGGAGGGCCTTTATTGGATTAAAGTGGCTTCCATTAATATTTTTACCCGTTTGGGCAATGAAGCAGCAAGGAAAAGAAAAAAACCCCCGTATTTCCATGCATCTCTCTGATACCTGGCCCAGTTCTGAGCTGGATGTTATAGGATCTGCCCTTCCCAAAGTATTTTATTTATGTTGTTCATTTGTACAGTACAAAAAAGAAAATACTATTGTTCTCCTGAAGTACAAGCCTGGAGAGAAGCTTTGGAGCACTAGCATTTTCTGCCTCACACAAATGATTCCATGGAACACTTTGTTTAGCTGTCAGTGTGCTGTACTACCTGCTTAACAAACCTTTTCTGTTTGAATTTGGAGGAAACTTTTCAGTTATCAGGCTCCTCAGACTGTCTATGTTCAGACTTCAGCGATGGAATGCATCACATCATCAGGAAGGATGTGGTTTGGGGGAGCAAGAATATAATTTCTTTTGACTCACCAAAATTGCAGGCTTGTCCACTGAGAGCAGCAAGCTGCTGGGAATAAGCCCAGTCTTCATCACTGGGAGCAGAGATCACTACCAGCCTCCTCCTCCATCGGAACCTGAAAAGAGAGCGACAGGGCGTGGTCATGACACGTGACTCAAATTGTCTCAGCATTTTCATTTGCTGTAGGCTGAGACATGTCATACCTCTCACAACTTGTCAGTAACAGCTGGATGGGAAATATTCCCAGTTCTGTCTGTCACTGGGAGAAGGTAAAGCTTGGTTTGAATTTTGCAATTCCAAAACTTTCATAGAAACACCTGCAGTGCCACTGCTTCACCAAACAAACATTTCAAAGCTCACAATCTTTGCTCAAAGCCCCCTTCAGTAGTTACAGCAATGCAGAGAAGTGTGTATTTAAGAGAGAAAGATTCCTGTGGAATTCCTCACTAGACATTTAGCTTTTACGTCAGTCACCACTGCTGGAACTGCACAGTTATTTTGCAGTTCAAGGGCTGTCTGAGAATTAGGGTGTATCTTCATTTCAGACATAACTCATACTTCTGTGTAAATAATCACTGACCTCCTTTTTTTTCCTGTACCACATTTGCTCCAAATACCTTTAACAGGGCTTTAAATCTGAGCTTGCTTATAAGTATGTGGTTGTGTGAGCCTATGGCTATGTAAGGCATGCATGGGGAATAAGATAAACCTTGAAATATTTCTTTAGTAGGGGCTGCACCATCTAACAAAGATTTTGCACAAAAAGGTCCTTCCATTTTCCTGTCAAGGAAAGGCAGTACCATAAGGACACTTGAAACCTTTAAAAATTCTAACTCTAGGGGATTTAAATACTCCCTCAACAACTTCTTTTTTGAATATAGATACTTCTCCACCTAACCTAAAGAAAACAGATTTATAGGAATTTGCAAAGCTGCAGAGATATTTTTATAGCAGGAAATGATCTTTTAAATGGATGCAGATGTTACTCTGTTATAATAATAGCCTGCTTTTCTGCAGCACCATGTGAAGATCTCAAAATAAGGGATAATGCAATGGGTCAATTCTACTTCACTTGAGAGAAGCTGAAGATATGATGAAACTTGCTCAGTCACAGAATGAGTTGTTAAAAGAGCAGTGTATACTGATGTCTTTGTCTTGTTGATTGATACTTATATGTATTTTTACAATTAAAAATGAAATCCTTGAAAAGCAAACCACCCCAATTTTAATCTTTCCCAGGAGGAACAGCAAAGACGTGTGTGTGTACAGTTATGTGAACAGGAATGAGAAGTATTAAGAATCACATATGTGATGTGAAGGAAAGGAGGGAAATTTTGTGTCATTATTCTGAAAATGTGTAACGAAATAATCTTTGTGATATTTTGTATAGAAAAGCACCTGGCTACATATGAACAGTGACTGAGAACGTAGATGTTGGATTATATTTTGCCTGGGGCAAAACCGTGAGTTTCTTTGAGATGCTCTTAAATTGCTTCCTATTTTTTTAATTATCTCCTTCAGAGATGCAAAGAGCTGAAAAGTGTTGAAAGCCACTCAAGCTATTTATTCCCTCACTCCAGGCAATCTGTATACTTGGTGTGCTTGTCTGGGCCTATGTTTTACTGAGAAATTAATTCAGTTGGTCTGTCACAGCTGCTGCTTCACTAACACTAACATACAGACTGATGCCTTATTTCTGACATCAGAAGCCATGGACCAATACTCCTGACAAATCTGCCATACCTTTCCTGTGTACATCCTTTCTTCCTCTTCTAGCTGTTTTGCATTCTGTTCTGATTTGTGAGCCCAGAGAGCAGTACAGCCAGTGTTGTCCCCACTGTTACAGGAGACCTCCCTCCCAAACTCAAGGTCTTCCTCCTTACACATGTGGATTTTAAGCATTACTCAAGCCGGCTCTGGCTCTCATGGTCTCCTTTCATGCCAGCCAGGCTTCTTAAGAACAATATTTGCGTTATTATAACTGACCTCTCCAATGAGCAACACCAGGGAGATGATGCCAGGGCTCTTGTTCAACTGGGAACATAACCTTGGACAAAGCTGGAATGAATCTTGCTGGGAATCTGACCAGTTAATGTTGCTAGAGAAGTCTACCCAATATTTAAAGCCTGATGCTTCTTTCACAGACAACAAATGCATTCTGTGCAGTGCAAGTTCTGTTTATAGATGCAACATTCTGTATTTTTTGGACCTGTTTTTCTAATGTGTGTTTATTGCTAGGGCGATTTCCAAGCAAAGAAGGATTTGGGGCCCATGCCTTTCCAGAATACAAGCCTCTTTCTTGTGTTGATCAGCTGTTTCCAAACTGTGGTTCTTCTTGGTGGTCTTGGGGATGAATCACTGAGACCTAAACAGGAGGTGGTGAGGTGGGTGGGGTGGATCTTGTTAAAGGTTCCCTTTCTGTTGAAGTGGCCATAGAATTTTAAAATGTTTATGAACCAACAACCTATTCATTTACTTGTTGCTCCTTTCCTCCCTCATCAGAATCCAATGTGCTGCCTCAGTTATTTTTAAAGCCATCTGGCATTAATGGTGTATTCCCACAGATTCCAACAGTATGTGAGGAGGATGCAGTTGTAACAGGTAAAGCCTACCTAGAGTGATAGGGTAACCTTAATTTCATGTGAATTATCCTGTGACAGAGAGGGCTGTAGCTGCACAGCTCTTCTGTGGATCTGAATTCCCACAGTCCAGACATATTTATTGCCTAGAATTTAGATCTCACAAGTAGAGCAATAATATGGCATATAGAGATTGCATAAACAAAACTCTCTTTCTGCAAAAGGTCTCTCAAACATTTTGCAAGAGACATCTGCCAGACCTTTAATAATATGCATGACTAATACTGGCCAAGACCAACTGTTATCTCAAGCAGGATAAAAAGGAAGTTACAGAGAATTAATTGGTGATTTGAAGTACATGGAAGGGATTAGAATGGGATTAATGAGATTGGGATGGTTGATGATCGAAACACATAAACACTGTGCTTCATACTTTCAAAGCACTGAGCTAACATCTGTGAATTAATCCTTATTTGCTCTTCTAATGTAAATCAGTGTTATCATCTCCATGTCATGATGGGAGGAACTGAGGTACTGAAAGTCAGTGTCCAAAGAAGGTGCAGTCAGTCAGGAAACATCCTTCTTGACTTCCAGTATTCTGTGCAAGACTGCATTCGGTTCTGGCTGTGTCTCTCTATTTGCTTAACACTGTAAATACTGAGTAATCTATATTTAAAAATCACAGAAATAGTCGTATGGGTATTTTTCCTGTAAAACAATAATCAGTAGAACTAGAAGCAGATAAGAACAGAAGATAATACCTGGATAAGAAGCTCTCAAGGGATTGTTTCTTATCTTCTTTGCAGACAATGCCCTCTTTTTTCTGTCTTTCCATGTCTTTAATTCGTGACTGGAAGGTGTCAATCAAATCAAACACAGACTTCATTGCTATGGGTACTTCATAGTATTGCTGTTAAGAAAAAAAAACAGATGAATATAAGGATGCTCATATTAGCAGCCTTTCTGCATGCATCACAGCACCATAGGAATATAGAGATTCAAGTAGTCCTATTTACACACAGGTAACAAAGCCTAAAACATGTTAGAAACCATGGAAAATATTATTGCTTTTGCAGTCAGACTGCCCTTTGGAAGTGGCATATTTTCAGTATTTGCCCAATGTCATAAGGCCAGGACATTGCAGGCAAAAAAATTATCATTATATTCTTCTGTCAGGCCATTCAGCTAGAGGATTGTCCATATGCACTGTGCTGGCATCCCTTTGAGTGGCCAAACTGCATGCTTTAGAATGCTGGGTACTACATTAAAACCCCTGTCAGTTGGGGGTCCTGTTCCTCACCATTCCAGCAGAAATCCACAATTCCTGAAATCCCCTAAGCGCAGAAAATGAAGATAGCTACAAAATTCCTGAAAATTTCTTGCTGCTCTTTTTCTTGTCTCCCAACAATGACCAAGTCCAGCATCGGTCTCTTATGTACCTCACGTAAAAGGCTGCAATGTAATTTCCTGAAAATTATTTTTTTTCATATTATTTCAATGCCTTTTCTTTGAAGAGTTGAAACCTCACCTTGACCTTCATGTCAGTGTCTGTAAGCACCATGAAAAAGTCATTGTAGGTCATCCCATATTCTTTCCTCAACTCGCTGATGAGCTGCTGGTCCACAAGGTCTTCATCCTCTATCACTTTCATGGGCTTTTCATTATCTTAATGTGAGACAAAGGAGAAATAAAAATAGTTGTGGAATCACACAGCACTCTGCCTTTAATTTCAAACTTGAAAGAAAGGGGAAAATTAATTTCCCAGAAGCCTTCTTCCTGATGCATAGTCAAGATATTAAAAACCATCAGTATGGTATTATGACTTTTAACTGTCCAATTTTCAGTCCCAATATTCTTTGAAAATCAGTCTATCCTAGGGCATGTGCACTTCAGTATTTAACATTTCTTCACTTTTTGAAAAATCTTCCTTTTTCCTGGAAAGGTCTTTTAGATTTTTTTGGTATTATTCATGTATATGCATGTACTAATCATTTCACCAGCTCCTGAAATGCAGCCATTTCTGGAAAAGACAGTAAAAATTTTGACAATGTGCACCATGTGCAAATGAAACAGCATGGATAATTTAGGTCAGTAAAATATAGCTAGAACAGCTTGAGGTTGGCCAGGACACTAGAGTTAACCTTGCCAGTCATAAAAAAAATTACATGCAAAGTTTAGTGAAATCAGAAACTGTTTAATGTGTTTTGAATGCTGCAGTCCTAAGAGCACACCTCTCTATAGACCCTGCTTTGGCACTCCCTCCTCCATCTGTGTGCTGATGTCTTTCCTATTCTAACACCCTGGCAGACCAAACCTTAATTCTGAGAACGTTTTGTACCTAGTCAGTGCTCCACCCCAGGAAAACATTCCTAAACATTGGAAGAGAAAAAGACCTCTGAAGACAGAGATTTGAAGACAAGCCTGTGGAGGTACTGAGGTTCCTTACTTCCCGTGGAACTGGGGTGTACTGGGGTCATGTCCTGAAAGCCTCCCTGTCATCAGCTCAGCCTCAGCTCCAACATCAGCACAGTCCTATATAACTGCAACAGTGCTGGAACAAGCCTCCATATGCTTTTGCAGGGCCTGGAAAAACTAGAGACAAACTAAATCACACACAAAGGGAAATGTCACCTGGGCACCCAAGAGCTCCCTGCAAACATTACTTGTCTATACCCTGTGACACCACTGTGAGTATTAATATTCATAATCTCAGAAATCCCAGCCATGGCTTAAGTGACCTGCCTGAAGTCAGAGACATGAGAGGTGATCAAGAGGTAAAATCCAGAGGTACAACTTGCCAGTCCCCCGCTCCATGATTATTCACCAGAAAATAGAGATGAGATTGATTATCCAAGTTGATCACACAGCAACAGAAAATAATTGATGCATTATACAACAAAGCATTCTAACTAATTTTTTAAACATCCATAGCCTTTAAGGCTGTTTCAAAATTTGCAGTAGGTCCAATCTGTGTATAGACTGAATGAAACTTCTGAATTAAAATTTTGGGAAAATATCTGAATCAGAATCTGACCTTTAGGTTTCACACTTTGAACCCTCTTCTTACAGAATAAAAGCCAAACCAGCAAATGTTAAAATTTGGTTATACTAATCAAGTAATAATATGTTTTTTTATGAATATATGTACCTCTGTTGAAAGTTTTGTAAAGAATTAACAGGCAATGTTATCAGTTTCCCATTGGGTGGGTTGCTGCATATGCTAGTTGGTTATTCACTTCATAAAACATATGTAAATCATGTATCAGTGCTTCATAAGTGAGGTTTACATGTTACTAATGGCAAGCATGACCATTAAAACACAGACCAAAGAATCGTATTTAAAAGCAAAAATTATCTCATTGGCCTAGATGGAGGTAGAATAGTGCAAAAATTGTTATTGTGAAATTTGATGTACAGCAGTACCTTAGACCAACCAACCCATGGCACTCTTCTGCTTTATACTCTAGATAACAGTATGAAGTTAGCACTTTAGGGTTTCGTTGTTGGGAGATCTTCTTTCAAAACTTATGATAAAAAGAAGAAAATTAAATTGCAGAGTGTGATACAGAAAAACGTTTCAAGGGAAAAAATAATGCCATAAAGGCTGGCCTGCCTTCCAAACTTGGAAGTGATTTCTATGGAGAAAAAAAAATAATTTAATCTAATTGCCTCTTTCCAATTCACTACTTGTCCCTGACCTCAACCTCATGAAGGACATCTGGGTTCAGCATGACAAACCACAGGAGTTGAGACTGTCTGCTGGTACCTGCAAAATTCTCACTCCCTTTGCTTTTTCTAGAAAGGTCATTGAAAGAGTGTGGAAATGTTTCTCCATATATCTTTGGCAGCTAGACAGGCTGGGAAGATGAGTTACTGTTTAGAAGTGACACTCAGCTTTTGTGTCATTCCAGTGGGAAACTGGGAAATACTCTTTGGTTTCACTATGAGCTGATCTTGGCCAGTGTCAATGAGCTCTTTCATTCACTAGTTCTAAATGTGTTTGAAATTTCAAGTGAAAAGTCTTTTCTGTGGACTTTTCTGTTGTTGTCTGTTTGTATTGCAATCCAAGATGCAGCACACCTCATCATGCTGGGTGCTCAGGCTTCTCACTATAGCATGCATACTGTGAACAAAACGTTTCTTAGGAGAAACTTTTGCTGCCTCTGGTGGTGACAGAGAGTGAGTCTTGAAGACGCCATGCAAACAGGAAGGGTAGGGGAGAAGGAGAGGTAGAACAGAAAGGTGTTTGTATTATTTGAACTTTCTAAAAAGCTTAGGATTTGGTGTTTTGAGCAGCACTATAAGATGAACTTCATGTAAGGCTTAACCTATACCCTTCTAAGTCTCCTGAATTTCTTGAACAATTTAATTTCTTCTGTGAGAATTCAGCTGTTATATACACTCATGTGGTTTGGGGAAAGTTTGGATGTAGGTTAAGTTTGGAACTGAAAGAGTATGATCTATGTCAGAGTGAACATCTGTTTATTAGCCAGACTAGAAGCTAAATATAACCCTAAGCAGTCCACTGACAGGCAGATGGGTCTAGGTACACAAAAAGTGTCCTTGAGTAACCTTGGCCTGATGTGGAAAATCCTGTACTGCTCCCGATTTGTCACGGAGGTGCACAAATGGACAGTCTGGCAGGATTTGTGACTCACTGTCATTCAGGAACACAAGGCTAGGTCCCCTGTTAGGTCCTGTCCCTCTGAGAGCAGCAGAGGCACAGCTGGAAGCCAGACATAAATCTGTGATCTTCTGGCCAGTTATATGCCCAACCTGCAACACCCTGGAGCTGGTGTGGCCCTGAGCTTTCTGTTCTGTCACACATCTCTCCCCAAAGTTTGGTAAAACCAGATGAACTTTGAGGGGAAAGCTGTGGTGGACTTATAAGCAAAACTAACAGCTTTTATTCTATTTGTAGAATAGAATTGTAGAATATTTGTATTTCTTCGGCTTCATCCAGCAAAGCATTCACAGTGCTGTTAACTTTTAGATGCAGACAGCAATGAGATATTGCACATGATTCAAGAGGCATCTAAGCTTAAGTGCTTTGCTGGACTGGGACCTGAAATCTTTGTCCAAACATTATTATGATGATAGGAATGGTTCTCACTGGCTTTGGTGAGTGCTTCCCCAGGACCTGAACACTGAGAGCAGTTGTTTCAAAGCTGCCTAAGAGAAATGGATCCCCAGTGTCACCTGTCTATATGGGAACTCTGTATGTAAAGAAGGTGGCACTAAATATGTCTGAATGAGCTACTTTGCAGGTCCTGCGCAGTCTGATTATAGTGCCTCCAAAACCTCTGGCTCCAATGAGATGAACCTCTTTACAACAGACAGCAATAAGCAGTCACAGTGATGGGTATCTTGTTTCACAGGGAAAGAGAGGTGATAGGGCTTCAAATGGTAAATCTTTAAATATCAGGTATGCTGATGCAAATTTTTAAGGTTGTCCATACCTAGAGGATGTGGTTGAAATCTTCTAAAAATAATACCTGTTTACCAAAACAGAGAGGAAAATGCACCTCGACCTCTCCTTGCTGTGGGGGCTGATCTTGCAAAAGAAAGGAACTCATGGCAAAGGTTCTAACTATCCCCCTACTCTGTCCTGGGTTTAACTAGTGTACGCCTCTGAAGAATAAAGAATTCCAGGACCCTGTGAGGATTACAAAGGCATGAGAAAATATTATATGGCAGTGGGGAGATAATGATCTTGAACTTCAAAATGGGATTAACTTGGGCCAATTTTTTAATATACTCTCAAACGATTCCCTTCAGTGTTTCCTACCCCCAATCTTCTCTCCTTCATGACAACAGTCACTTTCTTTAAGTATCTAGCCACCCATGGCTGATGTCTTGCAAAAACCAAGGGCAGGAAGGCATTGTATTAGTGCAGTCTTTAAGTTGGACAGTGAGGTTGGTATTCAGGATATTGGTAGAGCTCAGCCTAATTTCCTCTTTCTGTCCCATGCCCTAATCTCATTTTTTTTCCACCTTTTCACTGTTCCACTGTTTTACTGGCTTTAAGAATTCCCACAAAGAAAGCTGAAGGTGCTCAAGTTACAGCACTGGAAACCTAACCATGGAAAATACCAGAGACACTTATGTAAATATAACAGGGAGGTAGTTAGCATGGAAGGAGGAGGAATGGGTTTGAAAGTCAACTGGACCACAGCAACAGATCCTGCTTAGATTTTGACCCAAGCTGGGGAGATTTCTTCCTTTGCTGTCTATATTGTGCCCATGAGATGTAAAGAAATCATTAAAAAAAAAAAAAAAAGAACCTAGCTGGAAGTGGTCAATTTTCATGCTGCTGTTGTTCATGGTGCCAAAAATTGTAATGACTGAGATCTTCCTCGTTGCCATCTTGCAGAAGCTCTCCAGATACTCGTCTCGCTGCTGTACGTACATGGTGTTGTCCGCCTTGGGGGTTGTGATCAGCTGGTTGGTGGCAGAGATAAAAGCTTGTTTAGTATAAGGAATGAAGCAGATGAGTATTTTACTGAAGGAGAAATAGTCACTGTTTGCAAATTGGGCTCTCTTTCTCATAAAGCTGTTATTTATTTTGCCTTCAGACCCAGGCCTAACCCAAAGGTTAGGAAGGAACCTATCATTATCAGCCACAGGAAAACTTTTGGAAGCATGTCTAGCTGGTTGCATAAGCTCCTCCACTGTCTCTCCACAATTCTGGTAGAAGAAAGCATTGGATTTTACAGAACACCATATGCTTTCCTATTATCCCTTGCCCTACCAGTCCTACCAGGTCCCCCTCACAGCCTTCAGTGGTGCCATGAATCTAGGATTCCTGTTACTCACTCACAGTGGGAGCGCTGGGAACATGGCAGCCGCTCTGGCCTTATCCCATGGTCCAGGCAGGGCTCCCAGTGGCTATTTTGTCTGTCAAGGGGTGAGTGAATAGGGCTACATGAATACTTATGTAACTGATGGCCATATAAGAAGACCTTGAAGACTTGCTAAGGCCACTGTGATCTCATCTGAAAATGGCTGATTTAGCTTTTGTTTGTTCTAAGCCATTTTGATGTCTTTTGGGACTTATATTTGCTAGAAGACACAGCTGTGGGGGGAGAGGAAGAAGAGGAATAATTACAACAACAAAAGTATAAAAACTCTGTATGGTTTGTAGTACTTATTTCAAAGCCTTCTAAGAATTGCAAAGATTTAACTTATAAAAAATTTAAAGCACGTGACTTAGATCCTTTATCAGCGACTGGGATGCAAATATTCCAGGGAAGGTGTGCGTGTGTAACACCATTTGGTGGTCCTATGCAGCAGTTTCCAGCAGAAGGTGGCTAGGGATGCTGCAGCTCTAGCAGTGTAATCCTTCTGACTAGCAGCAGTGAACTGCAATCAACCACCTGCCACTGATCCCCCAAACATAAAGGGAGCTGGAATCTGGATCCAAATTTTATGGTTTAAGGTCACAAATAATCACCAGAATCCTTCGATTGCAAACTTATGCTTTAGTCTGTAACAGGTGGAATCATTTTCTAGCTGCTTTCTGAAGTTTGTAGGGCCTGGAGGTTAATTTTTATGATACACTCTTTATAAATCCAATTCATCAATTTACTGAAGTGTAAAATATATTTCTGGGCTTATAAGATCTGTCTCTCATTTATGCAAAGGCCCCTGGCACAACTACAACACTAGAACATGAAGGTGAATGAGAGTCAGACACAAAGAGGATTTGATTTCTGGGCTATAGCATGTAGCACGTTGCTTTTAAATGGCATAGAAATGCTTAAATGAAACGAAAAAGGGTCATGAAAAGGATTTGAGGACTGAGATCAAAACCAGACCATGGGTTTTGTATTGTCCTCCTAGTTTTGGAGGTCATAAGCTGGAAAGCAGAGGCAGGCCTGAATTTGATCTGCTTCATCAAACCTTGTAGAACAAAGCAGGGATCATTTAAGAGGCAAAGCAAACTGCAAATCAAAGCTTTGTGCCAGGACTGTTTTAACCCAGGCATTATATACGCTGTATCTATCTGTGTTTGCATTGTAGAATCACAGAATGGTTTGGGTTGGAAGGGACCTTCAAGATCCCCAAATTCCAACCCCTGTGCCATGGGCAGGGGCACCTTCCATTAAACTAGGTTGCTCAAAACCCCATCCAGCCTAGCCTTGAACACTTCCAGGGTTGGGGTATGCACAGCTTCCACTCTCTCTTTTCTTTATATGCTCCCTTTAGGTACTGGGAGGCTGCTATATAAACTGTCGGTCTGCATTTCATCACCACAGGGAAATAAACAAAGAACCCAAACTCACTAAGCCAAAATTTCTCAACATTAGTAAGACTGCAATAAAAGCTCCGTTATAGAGAGATGGGGCTACAAGACTCAAAATCGATACCTTTTTTTTTTTTAGTTTCTGCACCTGGGACCTATATTTGTCATTACTTGAACTTAACCCAGAATAGCTTTCAAAAATCTGGATGTTTGAAATTCATGCTGAAATCTTAAATCCTTAATGATCTAGAACTTAAAAACCCATGTCCCTCTCAAAAGACCTTTGGAAAAGGACTGAAGCAATGTCCTTGGGAACCAGTCTATTAAGGCATCTGAAAGATGCAAAAGCAAGAGGGAAAAAATTGCTTAGAGACACTTCTGCAGCAGTGTGGCTTAAGTCTCCAGGGGAGGGTTTAAAGACTCATGAATGATAGAGTTCATCTAACTGGAGGGACTGACCCTAATGGAACAGAGCAGTTTGATAGGAAGGGATGCAAATAGGCATATGTGTGGGTTCAAAGAATCTTGAGAAGTTCTCTTTTTTCCACATGTTCCATTCATGGCAAAGAGATAGTAGAGTTCAGCCACTGCTTTTACTAATAACCAAATCAAACCTATTCACCAAGGCTGAGGATGATTTTAGGTTCTGGAAAAGTGAAGTGCAGCGTGGCATAGTCATATGTCTTCAGTGAGTTTTGGCCTGACAACCTGAGATTGTGCAACTCTTTTCTTGGAGATCCAGCTGAGAAGTGGCCTAGTATCAGAAGGTTCAAATTTCAGACAACCCTTTAAGTTGCCAGGACTGTGGTGGTGTAATGAATTAGCAGCCTGACATCTGTGAGCTCTGCTTTTGGCTCTTTTTTTCCAAGTTTGTTTTTATTTGTCCTGATGCTACACATATTCTTGAAAGTCACAACATTGAGACCAAATGTCAAAGATCCCAACTTTTGCATAATTTCTCAAGCTTTTCATTTGGCTAAATATCATTTAACAAGTAACTAAGAGATATTATTTGCAAAATTTAGTCAAGTTCAAATTTTTCAAATATATGGCTTTTTTCCACTTCCAATGCTAGCCCTACAGCTAGGAGGAGAATGGAGGGGAGGAGAAGAAAGTTGCCTTCTGTTCAGGTCCATGAATCATCAGCAGAATAATTAATTAAATTCCAGTGGTTGGAATCTTAACTTGGCATCTTAGCTTGGCATTTTAGCTATTTGTATTGGAATATGGAGCATGAAAGTCAAAGGTGTGTTTTGACACTGACTATCAGACAATAACTCTGAAACAGGCCAGCTTACAGTAGAATAATTGCAAAAAAAATCAGCTTCCACAATAATATTTTTAAATAACTGTTTTTCAAAGTGTACCCTTCAGAATATGTCCCATCTGCCAGAAAAAACATTTCTATTACAACTAGAACTGTTTCCTGTCCCAGGTGAAGTGGGTTTTATGATAAGTAGTTGGAAAAACATACAGCACTATTAAACCCAGGGACAAGTAACTCCAGATCACACTGAAGTTCTCAGACCTGAAAACTTATTATAGTGTTATTGTTTAATAAAAACAGCAGGAGAACAAAACCAAACCAAAATAAATTCTGCACAGGACCTCTGAAGATGTGTAGGAGATCTGAATGCCAAATTCCCATTAGATCTTAATCCCAAGTTCCCCATCCCTCAGGGCATCTGATCACAAGCCTTTGTGCATATCTTCAGTCAGACATGCACTAGTATTGCCAAAACACCTGGCTTGCTTCCAGTTTTAGGACACCAGCACCAATATGAAGCAGGTGTGCCAGCTGGCAGGACATGCTGAGCATTGAAATGTGGTAACATTGGCAAGTTCCCTAAAGTGGTGAATGGGTGTAATCCACACTGGAACCTCATTTTATTGATCATACTGATACAGATCCTGACACCCACATATCCACTGGAAATAAGATAATCTGATGGCTATATGGTGGCTCATGGAGGTGACTGGGAAGTGGTTTTAGTTTAATTTTTGGTTGCTGCATATAGGATTTCCAATATGAGTCTGCAAAACCTTCCATGTTGAATATGGTTGTTTGGGTCTAGAAATTTTACCTCTTGAACAAAAGCACCAAAAAGAGTAATATAAAACCACCATAAACTTACAGTTCCACATATTCCTGCCAGGAGGGAGATATGACTTCATTTAGGTAATAAGATTCAGATGAACAAGTTACTTACAATGAGCCGCCTTTTGCCTTCAAAATATTCCAGGAGGTTGGTTGCTGATTTTCTGGGAGGCTGTAGGAAAGGCTTCTTATTGGGCTTGGGAAAATCCTCATTTTCAGTCCTGCTCCCCTTCTTATTCTTCTTGCTGCGGTCTTTGTCCTGCTTGCTCTTTTTCTCAGCTTTGTCCTTCTTGGACTGCTTTTCACTCTTCTGCTGCTTGTCAGGTCTGTCCTTCTTCTTCTTCTTCTCAGGTTTATCCATTCGCTCATGCTTCTTTGATTCTTTTCCTTTCTTTGGGGGAATATTTCCCACTGCAAACTGTTCCTCTAAATGGGAACTAGCAGGCTTGCTCGGGTCATATTTATCCTCATATTCATTACTCAGTATCTTTTCTTGGGCCTTCTTTTTTGGTGGTTTAGTCTTAATTGGTTTGTGTTGCCCTGGTGTGACATTCAGGTCCCTATGGTTATAGTCCTTTCTATCTGTTCGGTTATCTTTAAATCTACCCACATTTGCCTTTGTATAGTGCACTGAGGGAGCCGTTGGGACTCCTGTGAAACTGTCATAGCGGGCAGCTTTGTTTGGTTTCCGTGTGGCTGCCTGTTGTTTCTCCGACTGTCCGCGCTGACGGTCCCTGCGGTTTGCTTTCCACACAGGAGAGTAGAAGTCCTCAGAGGCTGTGACTCGTGGAGTGGTGGCATCAGGGGCTACTGGCAGCCTGTGGTACTCTGTGGTGGCATGTGACTTTGTGGTCCAGGTCCTCTGTGTGGTGGGGAGGGATGTAGTTGTAGTAGACCGGCTTGCTGTTGTCACTGCACGGGTGGTGGCACGAGTAGTTGTGGTGGTGGGAGGGAGAGTAGTGGTCCTTACTGTAGGTAGAGGAGTGGCCACTGTGGTTGTCATTGGTTTCCTCACTGTTTTGGTCCTTACTGGCTGATTATTGTTCTTCCTTGGCTCCTCCTTCCTTGCTGACACCTGGGCATGTTCACCACCAGGGGTAGGCTGGGTGCTGCCCCCATTGTTGCCTTCCTCAACCACTTGCCCCTCTACCCCAGCTGCTTTGCAAGTCTGGATGAAGCCCTTCTGCCTCATCTTCTCAATTTTTCTTATGGGGTTCTGATCAATGACTTCGTACATGGCCTCTAGCCTGACTGGATAAGGATACCTTTCCTCTACCTGCAGAGTTTTCTTCAACAGTACCATGCCAAATTTCCCTTTCTCCAGTTTCAGAAAGCTCATGAGCTTAGGGATGAGGGCAGGATCTAGTGGCTGTTCCAGGATTTTTCCTTCGTTGGTTATCCTTCTGACTTTTCCCCCTTCTTCCCCTTCTTCATGGAACAACACAATCTGCTGGATGTGCCTCTCGGCCAGTTCACAGTAAACATCATTTTTCAGCAGGCTCATCATGAGCCGGTAGTAGCCCTCAGAGGCATGGGGGGCAGAAATTACCCACACCCGATTTTTCCCTGCAAAGCTGGCCAGGACATTGGGAGAACTTGACCCTGAAGGGAAACGTACCACTCGTGACTGTGAGGCAGAGGATATCCCTTCGTCCTTAATCATCTCAGACTTGGAGTATTTGGCTGCAGCTGTGAGTCTCTGTACCCATCTCATTCTGGTCCCCATGCCCCTGGCCTGGGAACGTGCTTCCCCTTGGAGGAGATTGGCAGGTGGTTTTGGAGGTGTGGAAGAATCCCTTTTGGAGACAGGGTGTTGAGGATTTGGACTTGAATTCCTCAGGGATGCTCCAGACCTTCTTAGGACACTGCTTGAAGCCCTGTAAGCCAGAGGCACTTTCCTTACTCCATGGCTCCCTCTCTCTGCCAGCCTCTCTGTCTTCTCAGAGCCACACACTAGCCATGCTGCCCACAGCAGGGCTAAGCTGAGAGCTGGCCTCCAGTTCATTGTGCAATCTGTATAAGGAGGGGGAGGAGAAAAAGAAAAAGTTAGGTGGTAACAGTATGATGATACCTTGCACAAGTGATAAAAAAAGCAAAGCATAGGCTGGCTGGTTTTTGTGATTTATAAGCGTTGATTGCACCTCAGTCCTGCCCTAGTGGCTTTGTACATTTTACAGTTATTTTTGGAAAAACACAATTTTATGAAAAAATGAGATCATCCTTCTGTAACATGATATTGTCTATCCAAAAGGACACTGTGATCTGCATCCTTCTCTCTCTCTGTCTCGCTCATGCTCTCACTATACACACATGCAGACACACAGAGAAAGGGTCCCGTACCTAGAGCAGAAAGCCAAGAAGTTGACTTGAAACTTACACTTCCAGAGATGAGGTTTCACGTCTTTTTCCTTTAAAAGGAGACCATACAGCTTTGCTGCTGCTTAGTGATTTATCTTTGCAGCCCAATAGGTTCCAGAGCCTGCCTTGTGTATCTTTTAACTCTCTTCTTCACCTTCTTGACAAGCAGGATGAGGTTAGTGGAAATTTCCTTTGTGATCTCTGCTTCTCCATTTACCTGCAGGTCTGGATTTTTGCTGTGCCGGTTATCCACACAGGCAGGGATTTCATTTAAGGAAAGGGAACTCCTGGCTGCTCCAAGTCTCTCTGTTTTATACTTCCCTTCCCACTCCTTGCTTCCTCAGTCCCGTTTAGCTCCTTTGTTTCCAGAGAGGAAAGCACCAGCACTAATATATTTTCCAGGCTGAAGAAAAACACAGGAATGTGATGCTGAAAAAAAAGAAAGGACGCTTCTCTTTCCCCTTTCTCCACACTTTGACAAAAGCAAATTGTAAAACACTCGTCTTTTTTTCTTCTTGGCTGGCGGTGGTCCCAGAAATGTCAGGGCAACCCCAGCCCTGCTCCGAACCCGCCTCAGACAACGGTGGCCACTGGAAATGGGGGAAACTTCACTCAGGATTTAACAGCTCAGCAGAACCCGCCTCCTCCCCAGTCTGACACAGGGAGGGAGGAGGAGGAAGGCTCAGGGGGCTGAAACACTGCACAGCATCACAGAGCACTTCAGAGAGGGTGACTCCAGCCTTAACTCTTTCCTTCACGCATCCCAGCTCCCTGGTGTTCTCCAGCCCCAGCTTTCTCTTTCCTCCCATTTAACGGACACTAGTCGGATAAAAAAATAGTCCTGTGAGAAGTGCGTTTCTCCATCAGTATCAATAACAGCTCTGGTGTTTAAGAATTATTGTTTTTTAACCTCATAATTTCTGCCTCCTGTTCCCCCTTTCCTTCTTTTTTATTGCTTTCTGGGAGTTCCTCAGTGAAATCCAATTTCTCTTCACTTTCCAACCAATTTCTCTTTCAAGTCTTTGCCTGTGTCAGTATATTCTTTCCTGCAAACATCATATGGGCATAGCTGTTTGTTAATTTGTAGTTTTTAAAGAGATATCAGCTTGTTTACTACTGTACTGAAATTAGGGTCATATGTATTTCCCATGAATGTGCACTAGCAGTGAAAAAAAAAAAAAAGAGAAAAGGTACAAAAATACCTACAGAGACAAGGCTAAAGGCAGGGTCATGTCCTTTGCTCTCCCTTTATGGTGTAAACGACACCATTCTATTGAGCTGACGTAAACTGGCACGTCTGTGCTGCCAACACCTGGTCTTTAACTGATTCACACTGGCTTCAGAGTGCACCCTGCACATTCAATGCAAAACACTGCTTAATTTTAGCTGATAGGTAACACCTGAAAAAATCCAAGACCTTAATACTACTTTTACTGTTTTCCAGGGTTTTGCTTATTTACAGAGATGCTGTTACATTTTTGTGATAACACACTGGATTTGACCTTTGTTATATTGGCTGAAAGTGAAGGTACACCTTCTGCTTCCCTTGAAATCAATGTTTCAAAGAAAAAACCCTTCCTTTTCTTTCTCTCTTTTCTTATTTTCTTCGTTTTTACTCTAAGTCTTCTAATGCACTGATAAACATTAGTAGTGATTTCACCAATATGTGTCCACAGTTTGGGTTGTGTGGTTAGTGGTTTGCCTGGGAGGTAGGGGAGGATGCTGAATGCCTGTGCTCACATTAACTTGAGGGCAAAAATGCTCAGCCTCTTCCAGCATATAATATCCTATCCTACATCCACTGGGAGGTAAGGGGACTGTACCTCATACAAGGATCACAAAACTGAGTTCTGCGGATCAAGGTAACATTTTCTGCTTAAATTAGTGTCAAGTCTGCTCATTTGTTAATCTTGACAAGGAAAAAATGTCTTTAAAAATTACACTGTTTCATTGTGACATTTTAAAGAAACTGTAATTAAAAATATGGGTGTTATTTCTATGTTTCATCCAGTTTGACTACAAAGATTTAAAAAGAATTGACCTGAAGCCAAGTATTTAATTTGGGGTAAATTAATTTTAAAAATTAAATTACTTCAATTTTATTGGGTTTTGTAATAATTTGAAACCATACAGAGGCAAAACATCACTCATCTGCACAGGTCTAATGATGCCAAGGAAAACATGCTCAGTATATGACGACAGCAGAGGAAAGAAACAGATTTCCATGCTAGCTTTGCTGTCTATTCTATGCAATTTGCTTTGCTTTCCCAACCTGACTAAAGAAGTAGCATGCTACAGAATCTGCCTTAAAGTATCAAGGGGTGGCAGATCAAGGAAGAAGATAGATCTTAAGGCAGTTGTAGAGAGGGGCTAGCACACAAGATATGGAACCACGGGTATTATTCTCAAGGCCAATGTTTGTCAGTATCTTTATCCAAGGTGAGGAATAAACTTGAAATGACTGCTGGAAATATTTGACATTAGAATCTCTTAGAAAGTAAATAAAAGTAAATAATTTATACAGGCCAACAAGGTGCTCCTGGTAAAGTGAACATATATTTTAAAGGACCAATGCAAGATCGTGCAGCAAGAAGAAAAAATAAACGCATAAAGCGTGCTTACGATAAAGAACAATATCCTAGAAGGCAACTATTCAGTAAGAGACTTGAAGGTCACAGTATATAAGCCACTGGAAATAAGCTTTTGGTGTGATATTGCAGCAAGGAGAAAGCCTGGCAGCAGCTCAGTGAGAAGTTGGGAAGTCGTATGTAGTATCAATAATGCGGTTTATGCTGTACACATCAGGCTTTTCAAAAGGATTGCAAAGGGTTCAAAAAGTGACCTGGTGGATGGATATGATCCTATTGAAGGGGAGGTGGGGAAATAACTATGTGGAAGGCACAGCCACACATTGGACATGATCTTCTCATGCATACAGAGGAAAGAGACGTCTGCAAATAAATTGCTTTTTAATCCAGCAGAGGAAGACAGAAGGATAACCAATGATTAGGAATTAAATCTTGCTAAATGCAAACTTGAAGTAATTGCAATTACTTGAAAATTTTAATTATGATCTCAGTTAACCCCTGGGATAATTTTCCCAAGAATGTGGTGGTTTTCTGTGGCTTAGTTGTCAAATCAGACCTTCTTGGCTGAACAGGAAGTAATCACAAAAGGGTGGAATGAAATCTGTAAGGACACATCTACATGGAAAATCTGAGATCAAAATGGCACCCAGCCCTGAAAAGTACAACTCTCTGAAGGCTTATAGAAATTAATTCTGTAGTCCACTGAACTGAAATAAGCAGTTTGAGAAAGGTGGAATGCAATCTAAAAATCCTGTATTCCCCAGAGTGCTTTTAATAAGGAAATGGAAGTTAATGCTATGATCGCAAAGGGAAAGGTCTGCTTAAGGATGAAGTACTGTGAGTCTTTCTATACTGTTTTAGGTATCAGACTTAAATATATCATATGTGTCGAGGGATGTGCACACAACTACACTATTTTATCTGCTGAAGAACTAATAGGAAAGTCAACTACCTCCTGAACTAGGATTCTTTCTCAGTCCTACAAAACCTGGAGAAATAAGGCAGCAGCAAGAAAGGAACAGCCAGAGGAGCAAATGGGAAAAACTTTCCTTTTAAATAGACTTCCAGGCAATTCTTCAGGGAGTGTGGAAGAAACTGCTTTACACGGAAGGTGGAAGGAGGCAATGGGCTTAGGAAAACTGGCATTGCCTGCTTTGTACAGCGCTGGGAAGCTGGGAGCCAGATAAACAGGTGTAGGTTCCCCTGCTGATGCTGGTGGGGGGTTATTAGAGTAGAGAGCACCAGAGCCTGAATCCCGTGAAGCCAGGCATTGTTGATGCTCCAAGAAGGGACATGTTTCTTGAACCCCGCTGGCTCCTCACTTTCCTGAGAGGGAAAGAGGCTATTATTAGTAATCTGACTCAGGTCATAACCCAGCCAGCAGCTGGGGAAATAACAACTAGTAGTGTAAACAGGGGAACTGTGCTGCAGCCCCCTGTGTGTAAGCAGGAAAGGGAGTCAGTACAGGGAGGCTTGCAAAAGCAGTGACCCGTAATAAAAAGAGCAGTGCCTGGTTAGTCAGATCAAGCTCCTAAAATAGGCGCTTTTGATATAGGTTGGCCTCATTTGAGTCTTCACTTTTAAAATATACATTTTTCCTCGAGAATGTTGCTTAGAAACTGGTGATGGAAATGTGACACTCAGGCTTTAAAAATACATATTACAAACTTTAAGGTTAAATGTTTTAAACTGAGGCTAAGCTTTTTAGCTACTTGGTAGGGTTGCAGCCCCAAATGTTCAGGCTATAATTGAGATGCAAGGAAATTCTGATGTCTGGATGTTATTATTGGCCTGTGCTTGAGCTGACCTTGACTTTAGCACCTCTGCTTGTCTGGTTTACAGAGCTTCCTGGTGAGAGGAAGGCTCTCACATATACCCATTTTTTGTTCTACATCTGGTTGTCATCTGGGATAGAAACATCAGCCAGGGAGAACAAAACATCTTCTGGCCAGGGTTGGCACAAGTTCTGTATCAAACTGATGCAACTGGTGCTATGTACACTAAGATGAAAGTGTAATACATGAGAGCAAATGAATATAAACATTGCCATCTGCCGGCCTTGAAAACAGTGTTACCAAGCCACAGGCAGGTGGGACTGATATAACCACTGCAGTGTGCTACAAGTGGTCTCTCGTGATACAGCTGCTGAGGTGTAGCATTCAGAAAGCCACAGAAATAGTCTTGGAATAGTTATAGACAGACAGTCACAGAAATAGTTCATAAGATGAAAAGGAAAATGAGACTTCATTAGCTCAAATCATCAGCACAACATCCCTCTCTTACAGTGTATAACCCCACTGGGAAGCTGTACTACAATCATCTCATAATACTGATGTTGAAAACTGTCTCATGAAGTGCCATGAGTTACCACTCCCAAATCACATGCCTGCACAGCTAAATGAATTTGGCCATAGCAAAAAGTCACCAGCTGCAAGGGCTTGGATTCTCATCTCACTTTCGCACCTCTGCAGCAGAGGGCTTTATCAGGTCTGAACACTGATCTGTGCCACGTCCTTTCTCTAGTGTGCTTTCTTTGTCCTTCTCTCTTTGTCTGGGGGACTGCCAGAGCTGATGTTGAGCCTTTCTGAACAAGAGAGGGAATTGTCTCCTGGCTCTTGTGGCCCCACTTTGTGGTACAAAGCAGATTTAAGCAGGATGGGAGTTGGTGCTTATGCAACTTCTCTCTTTGCACAAATACTAAGACTCAGTTTCTTAATGCAGAGCTCCCAGGTCTGATCTCTTTGACAGCTGTTTTGTCCAAATGCAATCACTTATGGCTTTGCACACTTGGAATAAGATCAAGTAGAAATTGTCTTGCAATACAATCAGCTCATTCACTTACCAGGGAAGACTCAGCTGTCCTCTCCACTGGTAGAGGAACTTCAGTGAGATTCTGCCAGAAAACAGAGCCCACTGATTCAGTGGGGATTGTTCCTTACATATTTGTGGGCCTCATTATCTATCCTAAAATATCCTGGCTTACAAATCTTTTCTTGCACCCTGT